CCAAAGGATGTATAGGCAACAAATGAAATGCTGAATTAACATCAGCTTTAGCTAGAAGGGCAAAAGCTCCTACTTGTGCAATTTTAATTAATGCGCCATCAAATGAGGAATAACTTACTGAACAGAATTCTGGCTCAATTTCGTCATTTAAAGGCAAGTCTGCAGGGTAGGACAAACGATGTATAAGTCCAAACACATTTGGCTCCTTTTTCGGAATTATTCCCAAAGGAGAAATGTGAACATTTTGAAAAGGTGGTGCAACAAAAGGCCCTGCAAGCCTGCCTGCTTGCATCAATTTCTTTCTGAAGCTTTGTCAGAACTACATCTGGATGCTGCTTGTCTGAAGGTAAATTGTCAAAAACATAGCAACCAACACCAGTAAATGGATGGTAATGGGAAACCGTCAGAAAATCCATTATACAAGAGAGCTGTTGATTTGGATAAATGCGAAGCCACAGCAACATTCTTTCCTGGTTCAGTGGCATTGCCTTTTTTTAAGAAAAAGATCCTTCGAAGGAAAGGACGTATTGGCATTAATTTTTTTTAAACATCTAAAAGCCAGATGTGCCCCAGAACAATAAGCACATTCATGATATTTACTATTATTGGACCATTTGCACTGCCCATTTTCATTGAAACAGAAGCAAACACCCCGGCAAAAGGTCCCAGAAGCTGGAAGTGGTTGTTTAGTAAACTGTTTCTGTGGCAACAGCAAATTCAACCACAGGTCTACGTCTTTTGTTCCCCATTTCAATGAAAGATATACAGATAGCTTCTGGCAGAAAGATTAATCATAAAAGAACCATGACAAACCACTACAGTTTTTATATGCCTTCAAAATTATTTTTGAAATAAGCCACTGAACTTTTCTGGCTGTTTCTCACCCAATACACTGGCATATATGCAAAAAGCTTGTAACCAATGATCGAAAGTGCGTGGTACAGCTTTCCACCTGTCATCATCCAACTTATCTGTTTTATCAAATCAACTATCTATGGAAGGTGGCAATAAGGACAAAATATTGACATAATCTCCCTTCCATATGTTTTCTTAAACAGAAGAACTAAGGTGGAACCCCAATGGGGAATATTCACATGATAAAGCTTCCTTTAAACAGCTTTCAGGCACTGAATCTGTAGTAGTAATGGGCAACAGCTGTGCAGACACTGATGTAGCAATATTTGCAACATCTGATTGTGTAGTTCCTGCTGTAGCGTCACACCATGCAGATGCAAGATTGTCAGAGACAGGCAAAGGTACAGTAGAAGAAGTAAAGTTTACAGACAACTGCAGACAATGATTGTGCTAAGTTACATAACAGACACAGAAGACTCACCCATCAAAATTATTTATTTTATTTATTTCAGGTACTTATATAGCGCCATCAATTTACGCAGTGCTTTTACATATATATTGTACATTCACATCAGTCCCTAACCCTCAAGGGGTGTACAATCTAAGGTTCCTAACTCACATGCATACATACATATATTAGGGCCAATTTAGACAGGAGCCAATTAACCTACCAGCATGTCTTTGGAGTGTGGGAGGAAACCGGAGCACCCGGAGGAAACCCACGCAGGCACAGGGAGAACATGCAAACTCCAGGCAGGAGGTGCTGTGGATGGGAATCGAACCAATGACCTAGTACTGCCAGGTGGAAGTGCTAACCATTTAGCCACTGTGCTGCCCTGTATGAGTGCTGTAGGTACAGCACGGTCAGCAGGCCTGGGAGGCAGCGTAGAAACCAGCAACCTCAGTGCCATTATCTCACAGAAATCCATCTCCATGCACCGTGGTAATGGGAATGGGGAATGTCATTAACAGGTAAAGTGTTAAGAACCGGAGGTTCAACAGGAGCAATAACAGCTGCAGTAGGAGGAGAAGAAATCAAAACAGGAAAGTTAACAGTACATTTACCATTCCTACGCAGAGCTCTGGAGGTAATGAAGCTCCTAGAAGAGGGATTCCTCTTTTTTAAAGCCTTGAAAGCCCTAGGCGGTGGGGGGTATTGAACTGACTAGGCTTCTTCTTCTTCTTTCTAGATAACTGCATCATCTCCTCCACTGCTGCACCATTTGTAATGGAGCCGGGCATGGAAGCAGACTCACCAAGGCCGAGGGGTGATTGACAGCCGCTGGAGGAAGAGGAGGGATCAACCCAGAAAAGGAAACTGGAACAGCATCCTGTTGTGGATCAGATATTTATGATCAGCAGTGCCCCCAGAGAAGATTCAACTGCAGGGAGAGGGATTGTTTGTAGTGGAGGATGAGTGGAAGCCGTAGATGAGATTGCCGGACAGGCATGGCAGTGCTTCCTCCAGGCATCTCCGTCAGTCTCCCCAGCACTTTCAAAGGACACGCCATTAACCAGAGGATTTTAGACACCATAGTGTCATTAAACCATGAGTTTAATGCCTAACTGAACCTTCTGTTTTAACCAGCTAAATACAATTCAAGCACATTAAATAAAGCATGTTCAATACCTTATAGTTTTTCTTTCTAATGAAGCCACAAAACTCTGTTCCCTGCCAACAGCTGCAAACTGGGCTCCTTGTTCCCTGAGTGGCTGCAGTGGTCTCATTGCACATCCCTTAATGAGTCAGACCTATCAGTATGCAATCAGTTAAGCTCAAGCTCCTGCTGATTGGAGGGCTTTAACTCTGATTCAGCAGGGGGGGTGTTGGATTATACAAAAAGATCACTACTTCCCCACAGAGAGGATGGGTCCCACTCTACAGCATGCTGGCAGGACGCAGACTTTTCTGCTTAGCATGTGGCTTCTTTTTAAAGAAAATGTACAGTAAGATGTTGCACATCTTTTGCTTTAATGCACTTGGAATGATTTAAAGGATAAGTTCACCTTTTGGACAAAAATAATAAATGCAAATTGTTTTGCAGGTAAAAAAATGTTCATTTATTATTTTTTTCCAAAGGAGCCTGGAAAGCATTGCACCACCGATCAGTAGATCACTAATGCCATGTAGGTCTCTTATAGACCTCAAATAAATGAACATATATATACATGTATAAAATAATGCAAAAGATGTAAAGTGATGCTGTGCACTCATATATAGGCCACTATACAGTGGCTAATATAACGTGAGGAAAAGCTGCTGTGTCCACAGATAAGTCCAACGTGAAGATGTGAGCAAGATCTCAATCGATCTATAGACTTCCAAACGATATAGACTGTGCACACGGTGAAACAGTGAGGATACAGATTACGCACTCACCAGATGCGCAACCTTTATGCGCCTTTATATATTATAGAGACTTCCAATATGTCATCAGAGGTCTGGTCAGATCTGGTCAGGTCCCCTTCGTTATCCCATACTCTGCATACAGCCTTCTCATTAGGCGATGACCACTCTGTAGGTGCACCTGGCTCCCAGAGGAGCTCAGAAAAAACAGAGGGGGCCAATAGTGCAATATGTCTATGAATACTTTATTCCCACACACAGAGACAGATGCTAGTCAGGTACAATGTAAAGGATAATAATAAAATGAACTACTGACCCAGTAAAAAGTTGCCGCCGGGACCCCTCGTGGTGCCGGCGGTGTTAGCGTCAAACAGCTGCAGCTGATCTGACACGTTTCGAGCAAAGAGCTCTTAGTCATAGGGTATAGCCAAAACCCTATGACTAAGAGCTCTTCACTCGAAACGCGTCAGTGTCGGCTGCAGCTGTTTGACGCTAACACCGCCGGCACCACGAGGGGGTCAGTAGTTCATTTTATTATTATCCTTTACATTGTACCTGACTAGCATCTGTCTCTGTGTGTGGGAATAAAGTATTCATAGACATATTGCACTATTGGCCCCCTCTGTTTTTTCTGAGCTCCTCTGGGAGCCAGGTGCACCTACAGAGTGGTCATCGCCTAATGAGAAGGCTGTATGCAGAGTATGGGATAACGAAGGGGACTTGACCAGATCTGACCAGACCTCTGATGACATATTGGAAGTCTCTATAATATATAAAGGCGCATAAAGGTTGCGCATCTGGTGAGTGCGTAATCTGTATCCTCACTGTTTCACCGTGTGCACAGTCTATATCGTTTGGAAGTCTATAGATCGATTGAGATCTTGCTCACATCTTCACGTTGGACTTATCTGTGGACACAGCAGCTTTTCCTCACATTATATTAGCCACTGTATAGTGGCATATATATGAGTGCACAGCATCACTTTACATCTTTTGCATGATTTTATACATGTATATATATGTTCATTTATTTGTGCTCTAGCGCTGCAGCTTTTTTGTATATTATTGTGTATTGGAAGGTTTTATAGGGTGCCTTTGGTGTAAAGCTGCTACTATTTGGAAGGCGCTCACTTATTTGCACGTTTCTCTTATAGACCTGTCACAATATCTGCTTGTCGTACGGGATGTATAGTCAAGCAGATATTCTGACAGGAAGCTTCAATGAACTACCACAGTGCTGCACAGCGCTGTGGTAGTTCATTGAAAACTACAAGCCCACAGCCACTAAGGGTATCGAGACTTGCAGTTCATTTATTCACGGAGGTCCGTGAATGAATGACGCGCCCGTGTGGGCGGAGCCCCGCACGGCCACACTGTTTTCAAATTTGACAGATCATACAGGGAAAGTACTTAAAGTGACTTAAAGTTGGTGGCTTTAAAAGTATTTACATTTTGTATCCTGTGTTGTATGACCGTGCAATTGTCATTCAAACTGTGAGAGAGCCAAAAGCTGAATATTGGCCTGTGCAGGAAGGGGGTAAAAGTGCCCTGTATTTGAGTGGTTAAAGTGGTTGTAAACCTCTGAAATGAAAAATGAACAAAGCACATCCCTTGGCAGGATCAGAGGGGAAACAGGTTCTTGTCAGTCAGTAATGTAAACTTAAAGTCCACTTTATTTGTCAGCAGGGGCTGACTGACCATTTGGAAACTTGGGCACGGGTCAGTAAGGGGCCCCATGAGATGCCCCTGGTACCCTTTTCATAGGCTTTTTTGAGTTTGGGCAAGGACACAGGGGCACCATGATCCCCTATTGCCTGGGGGGCCCCATGAGTTATCAGTCCGCCCCTGTTTGTCAGCCAATAAAACAACAGGCTTTGTCTTCAAATTCAGCTCACAAGACAGTTGTAGCATCCCATCAGTGCAATACACAATCAGAATACATAAGTCCAAGTCTGTTTAGCTTCAGTACACACAGTATTCCAAGCCCCACTGAAACCTAGGCAAACCCAGCAGGCAAATCTCAGACAATTGAGTCTTTCCAGGCTGCATCCAGATCTCCTCCCTGCAGACACCAAAACGAACAACAACCACAGTCTCTGTTCAGCTGATTAATAAGCAGGGCTGAAGTGGAAGTATCTACCCTCTACAAATAACCTCCTCTTGACCCTGCCCCAGGCTGACTCTCCACACCCCCTATAGTGTATACTAGCTTCAATCCATAGCACTTACAGAGGTTCCTCTTTTATCTCTCCTCTCTCAACTGTGTATGACTAACCTCTGACAGCCTAACGCGGAACCGCAGAATTCCAGGTGATGGCTCCATCCTCCTCCCCAGCACACAGCAGATGATTGACAGCCTCAGCTGTGTGCATGAAACACTATTTCAAGGGAAGTTGTTTGTAATTTAATTTGGAAATTAGCGCTGCATCTTATTCCTATTAATAATTTTCAGTATTTTGAGAGGATTTTGTTGGTGTTCAGCAGCTCCAGTTATACAGAAAGATACATAGTGCAGGCCAGAATGCTGGAGTATAAGGGGAGAAGATGCTGTGCTGAGCTGAGCTGAGCTGTGCTGTGCTCTGCGGGCGCAGCCCCACTGCAAGAGATCATCTCTATGTTTTCTGGAGTTTGGCTTTAATCAAAATAATTTGTTGTTATATATATATATACTGTAGATATACATACCGTATATACTGTACAGTACTCTGCAAAAGTTATAGGAATATAGGCAGGTGTGAATAAATACTATAAAGTAAGAATGCTTTCAATATATATTTTTAATTGTTTATTTTTTAGCCATTTGCAAAATGCAAAGTAAGCAAACAAAAGTAAAATCTAAATTAAATCAATATTTGGTGTGACTACCCTTTGGTTTCAAACCAGCATTCATTCAATTCATCAAGCTCTTTTGAAGAAGCACAAAGAAATGCTGAGGACTGAAGACACAGCAGTCAGCCAAGGTAATGCTGCAGATGAAAGACACACCATGCTTACTTCCTTTCGACACCGGAAGATGTCTAGCAGTGCCATCAGCACAGAAATGTGGAAACCAGTGTGATCCCAGGTACACCTATCTACTGTCCAGAGAAGTCTGGCCAAAAGTGGTCTTCATGGAAGAATTGGCCAAAAATCCATACCTCCAATGTGGAAACAAGACTAACAAACTCAACTATGCACAAAAACATAGGGACTGGGAAGCAGAAAAATGGCAGCAGGTACTCTGGAAAGGTGGGTCAAAATTTAAAAAATTTGGCTGTAGCAGGAGGACATTTCTTCACTGAAAGGCTGGAGAGTGGTATAATAATGAGTGTCTGCAAGCAACAGTGAAGCATGGTGGAGGTTACTTTCAAGTTTGGGGCTGCATTTCTGCAAATGGAGTTGGAGATTTGGTCAAGATCAATGGTGTCCTCATGCTGACAAATACAGGCAGATATTCATCCATTATGCCATACCATTAGAGAGGTGTGCGATTGGCCCCAAATTTATTTTGCAGCAGGACAAAGACCCAAACCATACAGCCAATCTTATTAAGAAGTATGTTCAGATTAAATAAGAACAAAGTGTCCTGGAAGTGATGATTTCACTTCCACAGTAATGATTTGGCCCCACAGAGCCCAAATCTAAACATCATCGAGTCTGTCAGGGATTTCATGAAGAGACAGAAGGTTTGGAGGAAGCCCACATCCATAGAAGATCTATGGTTAGTTTTCCATGATGTTTGGAACAACCTGCCAAGTACTTTCAAAAACAGTATGCAAGTGTATTGATGATGTTTTGAAGGTAAGGAGTGGCCACACAAAAAACATTGATATGATTTGGATTTCTCTTATGTCCATTTACTTTCCATTGTGTTAATTGATAAATAAAATAAACTATTTACACTTCTATTTCTGCAAGCATTCTCAATTTACAGCATGTTTTCACAACTACCTATATCTTTTGCATTGTAATATATATATATATATATATATATATTGTGGGGGTAGCTCAGGTGGGGGGATCACCTTCCCTGGGTAAAACAGGTAGACCACACAGCAGGCTTTCTTAAAACTCTGACGGGTTGTCAGTTTTTATTCACAGGTTTGCATAAACATATCCAAAATAAACAAAACAGCAAAAATAAACCCTTGCCATTCAGGCACTAACTAAACATAGAGCTTTCCCTCTCTTACTGGTGAAGGGCTTCTCCCTGTCACCAACAAAACAAAACCATAAAACAAACCTGGTCTCTTATGGTATCACAATCACTTTCAAACACAGCTCTCTCAGAATGGTTCTCTGAGTCCCAGGCCACAAAAGCAACTCCTTGCTCCAGCCCTGTCTTATTTATACCACCTGTGGTGGTCATTAGTGGAGCACAAAATCCGGTCCGGAACCACCCCTGCCTTTGTGACCCCAAAAATCCGGAGTGGACTCCACCTAAACCTCAAAGTATTGAGCGTATGCGAGGTGACACATAGCGTCCATCTATCACCTCGCCGTTCATACTGTCACATAATATATATATATATATATATATATATATATATATATATATATATATACACACACATACACTCTATATATGTATAGAGCTCACAGCCAGATTAAACACGCGATCAGAGCTGTTCAAGCCAATTAGCATAGAGGTATCATTTTATGTCAAAGAAGGAAACATCAACACCATACGGAAAATAAAAAATAAAAAGCAAATACAATAATAAATAAAAATCGAGAAACACAAAAAGAACATACAGAGTTCATGCAGATAATCCCTGGTAGAAATTAGTCTCAGTAGACCATTACTGTATGTGGCCACATAACTATCCAGTAATGTCAATGTACTGCTTATAATAAGACAATAATGAATACCTACTGTTACTAGTACTTTTTATGCTAGCAGAACTACAGGTGTTATTTCTTTCTTGCTTGGTTTTTTGTCCTCTGATGCTATTTTGTAAATTGCTCACTAGATGTCAATGTAACTTCACAAATATATAGTAGTTAAATCTTTCTTAATATTGGAGGTTGACAGCTTCATATGGACTTAGTGGAAGTCTCTAAAACATAAGTAGCTAAATACTGCATATCTACAGTTTGCAAGTAGTAAAATGCACCCCATAGTGTACTGATCAAGCATTAAAGTGCATCTAAAGCCATATTGTTTTTTTCTTTTGTCAGATTTTTATTGCTGTTTGAGTCTCAGCTTAAAGAGTTTAAACCTCTGGAGTTTTCAACAATGAAATCTTAGTATCTTTCTAAATGCATTCCTGCAAGTTTTGATGCTGTCAATGGTTCTGTTCCTGTTCTATGAGCCTTTAAAACTGCTTTCTATTTTCAGTTATATCTAGATCCCCAAAGCATACCTACACGCTTACCTCCCAACTATTGAACTTGACACAGTGGAATAATTTCTTAAGGGGTAGAATGTGGCAGCAGCTTTGATAAGAATCCCATCTGTTACTGAAAAATAAAGAAATCAACACATCCATATATTTATAGTGTGATAACTGAACATCTCTTGCAGATAATACAGTAATTAAGACCAAATACACTGTAAACGAATGTGTTGCAAAATATTTAGATAACATCATTTAACACCTTATTGCTGAATATTGACACACCTGTTGAGCCTACTCACTGTATACACAGCATACATCTGCCACAGTCTTTTTACCCTCAAAATATGCTTTATGATAGTGTTACAAGCAAGAGTCTAATCAGCACAGACCCCTGCTTCAGTACAAATTCCACCAGTACAGACCCCATCTAGTTTGGACCACCTTCCTTCCCACCAGTACAGACTGCCCCTCCAGTAAAAAACCCCCTCCCTGCACACCAGGGCAGATCAGATCCCCTCTTCCAGAACAGACCCCCCCAATACAGACCTCATCCTCCAGTACAGACCCCCTCTTTCCCCACCAGTACAGACCCCCTCCTTCCCCACCCACCTTCCTTCCAGCACAGGTTCCCCACTCCAGTTCAGACCATCTTCTTCTTCACCGGTACTAATACGCTCTAGTACAGACCCCCTCCCTTCCTACCAGTAAAGATCCCCATCCAGTACAGACTCTTCCTCCAGTACAGACCCATCCTCCAGTACAGATCTCTTACCTCCAGTACAGATCTCCTCCCTCAAATGCAGAAATTCTCCTTACCCATTAGTACAGCCCTCTTCCAGTACAGATCCCCTCCCTAGTACAGACTCCCTCCTTTCCCCCCAGTACAGACCTCCTCAATACAGACTCCCTCCCTCCCCATTGGAACAGTCCCACCTGTCGAACAGAACCCCCTTCAGTGTAGGCCGTCCTTCAGTATAGACCCACTCCCCTCCGATACAGACTCCCCCCTTCATTATAAACCCCTAGTTCAGTACGCACCCCCTCCCTTCCTACCCTGCCCACCAGTTAAGATACTCCCTCTAATACAGACCCTCCCCCCTCCAGTACATATCTCTTACCTCCAGTATAGATGTCCTCCCTCCTGACGACATCTTTCTGATGACAAAACGCATTGGGTGGAGCCTCGGCGTGTGATGGCACCATGCTCTGGAGGGATGGTGGTCATCTTGTTGGTTTGAAACTTTCTGTTTTTCAATGCTGGTTATCTTACACTTTGATGTACATGGAACTTAAATAAATTTGCCAAAGTTTAATTTAACTACTACGCTGAGTTGCCTTTTCTTTTTACTCATTTTCTGACTGTCAGATGGGAGTTTCTTCTATCTGAAGATCTGTAAAGGTGGAGAAGTTATCTTTCATCTGGGAGAGAATTTCTACTGACGATTGTTTGCTTCATTGATGTTATATCACACTGCGCTTGCTGACCAGTTTTGTACAGTCAAATTGTGCGGTAAGAGGCCAATCTGTTTCAGGCG